GAAATAGAAACCAGAAAAACAGAGAGAAAATAAGTGATACCAAATGCTGAGTCTTTGAGGTCAATAAAATTCATAAACTGCTAATCATATTGTACAGAAGAGAGAGAGACAGAGAGAGAGACAGAGAGAAAGAGAGACCCAAATTACCAATATCAATCAGTTTCAGGAACAAGAGCGGTGACATCACTGCAGATCCACATGCAATTAAAAGATAATAAAAAACTAGTATGGACAACTTAATGCCTGTATATTCTGCAATTAGATGAAATGGACAAATTTTTTGAGAGGCATAAACTACTCTAGTTCACTCAAAAACAATCAGATAACCAGAATAACTCTGTATTTATTAAAGGGATTGAATTTCCATTTAAAAAGCAACACCCCTCCCCGCCAAAAGAAAACTCCAGGGTCAGATTACTTCACTGGTAAATTCTGTAAGACATTTAAGGAGAAAATAACACTAATTCTATGCAAACTCTTCTAGAAAATAGAATAAAAAGAAACACTTCTTAACTCATTTTTTTAAGGTCAGCATTAGTTTGATGCAATAGCCAAAGATGTTACAAGAAAAGAAAAGCACAGACCAATATCCCTCATGAACACAGATGCACTGGCCAATGGAGCCAGCTTCCTTCCTTCCCATCTTTGTCGTTCCTTTCTTCTGCTTTGCCTTTAATCATTCAGTCCACAAACATTTACTGGATGTCTACTGTATGCCACGCCCAAGGCTGGGTGATAGAAGCATTGGGATGAATCAGACACAGTCCTGCCCCAAAGAGTCACTGTCTGATTCAGGAGTCTGACAATTCCCAAAAAGTTTACAAGGTGCTATGACAGACGTAAAGCAACAAGGTGCGGTGGGGCTCAGAGAAGGGCCCCCCACCCAGCCTGGGCTACTTGGGAAGACTATGACGCTTTCTGCTTTGAGAAATTATCAAAAAGAAAATGTAGATGGGGGTGCAAAGACTATAAGGATGAAAAAGACAGCCTTGCTCTTTAGGTGCTCATATCTTGGGGTGAGTGACAAAAGAAGAATCCACAGCAACACTGGGATTTGGAGCCCTGAGAGAGGGAAGCACAGGCCTGAGGATGCACACAGGAGGGCCACATGCTGAGGCTGGGGTGCCAGAAAGGCTTCCTGGAGGATACGACGTGCATACAGGCAGGGAGGTGAAGGACGAATCATAGTTACCTGGGGAAAGTCTGTACCAGGGAGAAAGGAACTTATGTGCAAAGGCCTGTGTCAAGGAGAAACAGCTCGGCACACTGGAGAAGCTCAGAGGGCCCCAGCGTGGCCAGGCCTGGGGCACTGACCCAGGGAGGTGAAGCTAATGGAGCGGGCAGGAGCCAGATTCCATTAGGGAGTGTGAAAAGCATCCTGTGGGCCATGGGGTACCTCTGAATGGAATGGTGGGGTGATCTTCCCTTTATGAAGACAGCCCTGGCAGAAGAGTAGTGAGGAGCTTGCCGCAACTATTGGGAAAAGAGACAGCGGTGCCTGAGCTGTAGAGAGAAACAGGATGTGAGAGCTGAGCACCTGACGGGCAACACCACACTGTAGGCTGGGCTCAGACAGGGCTGCTCCTGAGGGGCAGGCAGAAGATCTCACGTGCCACTGTTCTGTTGTCCTGGCACGCACCTCCACGGAGCAAGCTTTAAGCTCCAAAATTTCTCAGAACTGAGGGTTTTTCCTCAACTTCTGTAAAACCATGGTAAGTACTTTTGCAAGACAGAGAAGGAGTCCAAGATTTTGATAGCTGAACACTGGTAAGTGGATTGTAAACCAAGCCCTGTGGGAGCAGAGGCAGGAGGAGGTGGGCTTCACAGCTTTGCTATATAAAAAGAGGTCTGGACCTCTGACTGCAGCAACCCCCTACTGGACGCAGGCATGACTCTGCCTTAGCCCAGGAATTCCAAGAATGCCGCAGATCTTCCTCTACTACTGAGAAATAGAAGGAAACAGGTTTATTGAGAGTCTGAGCTGAGATTCAAGCCCAAAACTGCCTGACTATGCCTGTGCAATATTGTGCATTCTTCAGAGTGATACTGTGGCTAGTTTTTTGAGAGTTTATTTTTAGAATCACTCTTGGACAGTTAAGAACATCTTCTATTAGTTATCTATAGTGCATAACAAATTACCCCAACATTTAGCAGCTTAAAACAACAAACATTTATTATCTTACAGATTCCATGGGAATCTGCGTGCAGCTTAGGCGCCTCTGAATCAAGGTCTCTCATGAAGCTGCAGTCAAGGCATTGGACAGGGCTGCAGTCTCATAAGAAGGCTCAGCGGGGATTGGGGGGAGGGCGGGATCTGCTTCCAAGTTCACTCACATGGTTGTTGGCAGGCCTCAGCCCTTCACATGGGCCTCTCTCTACAGGGCTACCTCAGGACATGGCAGCCGGCTTCCCCTAGGGAGGCAATCCCAAAAGAGAGTAAGAGAAAGAAAGAGCGCATGCTCCAAACAGAAGCCACAGTCTTTTTATAACCTAATCTTGGAAGGGACATCTCACCACTTCTACTGTATTCTATGTATGAGAAGCAAGTCAGTAAGTCCAGCCCACACTTAAGGGAATGCCAATTGCCTGGGCTCCTTGGGAGCCATCTAGAGGCTGCCCACCTCAATCTAAAGAGTTTTTTTTTTTTGAGACAGAGTCTCACTCTGTTGCCCTGGCTAGAGTGAGTGCTGTGGCGTTAGCCTAGCTCACAGCAACCTCAAACTCCTGGGCTCAAGCGATCCTACTGCCTCAGCCTCCCGAGTAGCTGGGACTACAGGCATGAGTCACCATGCCCGGCTAATTTTTTCTATATATTTATAGTTGTCTGATTAATTTCTTTCTATTTTTAGTAGAGACGGGGTCTCGCTCTTGCTCAGGCTGGTCTCCAACTCCTGAGCTCAAACAATCCGCCCGCCTCGGCCTCCCAGAGTGCCAGGATTACAGGCGTGAGCCACCGCGCCCGGCCAATCTAAAGAGTTTTAATAGCCAGGCTATCCTGGCTTCTCCCCAACTGGCAAGTTGTTTTCCCATCATCCAGGGGCTGGAGGATTTGGGAGCCTACAGGGACACTTGGGCTGTGCCCACTCCTTTGTGCGTTTGTGCCTGAGGCATAGTCTCATTTGGAAATGCCAGTGTGGTGAATGTATTTAGAGCCCCCAAGGGAGGGGGGTTGTTCTCAAATTGTGGCCACTGCTCCCCTCCCCCATCCTTGAAGTTGATGTGATGTTTCCTGGCAAGGAGGGGAAGCAATGGCATCCTTCACAGCACCCCACACCCTGTCAGCCAGATTGCGTTGGGGTCCAGGTAAGGAACCATCAGCATGAACATCTTTAAACTTCTCCTTGCTTCTGATCTTCTTTCCTCAACTTTTCTTTTCTTCCTCCCCATACTGTGTCCATAACCCCCACAATAGCTCTCAGAGTAGGTGCTCCCAGAACTTGTTGATGGAGGTAGGAGGGAAAGACCAGAAAGAGAGCAAGTGTGCGTGCAGGTCAGCACCACCACTCAGGGCAGTTCAAATCACATTCCGTGTACTCGGCGTCTATTCTGTGCTAGTGCAGAGCTTCTAGAGATGGACGAGATACAGACACTTGCCCTCAGCGGGCTCATAGTTTCAGGAAGGAGACAGAGGTGCAAACAGGCAATAATGAAACATTAGGATAAACACCACAAATATTTGGACAATACACCCTTTTCACCACCCCACCACGGCTATCTTGGTTCATAAAGCATCATCTTTTGCTTGAACTATTACAGTAGCTTCCAAGCTGGTTTTCCTCCATTTATTCACCCACTCTGCTGCTGAGAGATCTTTCTGGAATGCAAATCCTACGAGGCCACCGCCCTGGTTAAAGGCCTTCCCAACTGCTGTGGGGGAAAGCCAAGCTCTTCAGTTGGTCCCCAAAGCCCTAGACACTGTCGATCCCTCCAGCTTTATCTTAGCCCTCTCTGCTCACACTCCAGTCACACAACAGGCTCTGTGCTGGGGCAGGTACCTACGCAGGTGACCATGCTGTCCCCCTGCCTCCAGGAGCTAATTCACGTGGCCACATCCACTAGAAACATCTCCACATTGCCCTTCCCAGTCTGGGAAATTAGCCCCAGAGCCTCTTAAAAACATTTCCCTCACATCTTTTGTGTCCCCTAACGAAATGGGCACATGGTATCTAGACTCTGCCTGGTGCCTGGCACAGAGAGGGATTGGGTCAGTAAACGACTGTGGAAAGGACCTGAAGTCAACTTTGGGAGCACAGCGAGGACACCCAGACCAGGCACTTTCAATTCCCCAAGGAAGCACGGATACCAGAAGCACCCTCCCCGCCTCTGCTCTGTCCACGCCCTCTCCCTGCTCCTGGGCTCGGGCTCGCAATGAAGGGCCCAGGATAAGCGCTGGTAGCCAGCTGAGCAGAAACCGACCTCTCTGCTCCTCGGGTGGGCGGGGAAGCTCCGTGAGGTAGATGTGGTATGAAATTGGACTTTAAAAAAAGAGTTGGAGCCTGATGTCAATAATCAAGTGTGGACATGTGAGGAAGGGGGATGTTAAAGCATCCTCTTTCCCCCGGCTGCTATTCCCCACGTGCGTTGAGTAAAGGAACCAAAGCGGCCCGGTGACTGTGGGTGTCTCCGCCCCCTCAGGGGCACCCACCCTGGCGCTGCAGGCGCGCTTGAGTGAATGGGAGAGGACCCGCGCGCATGAATGAGTGCGAGAGTGAGGGAGTGCGCGGGCGAGCGGGTGAATGGCGACCGCGCCGTCGCCTCGGCACAGGGGCTCCGGCGCGGGCTCCACTTCCCTCTCCCGCCAGCTGGTGGCCTCGAGTAGGTGGCGGCGCCGGCAGCGGCCCGAGCTGGGACGGCCGAGGCGCGGGATGGTGGGGGAAGGGGCGTTCCCAGCGACCGCGCCTTCCGCGGCTATTGGATTAGTGGCCTTCAGGGATGAGCTCAGCCAGATCGGCTTTCAGCTGCAGCCTCCGGGCCGGCCGGGAAGGCGGGGAGCGGGCGGCGGCGGAGGAGGAGGGGGAGGCGACGGCGGCTGCAGCATCCAGAGCTGGCCGCGGCGGCCGGCGCGCCCCGCGCACAAAGGCGCCCAGCCCCTGGGGAGGGTGATGAGCGCACCGCAGCTCGGGCCCGGGCCCCAGCTGCAGCTACCGCTACGTGAGCCCAGGGCGCTGGGGAAGACGCCGGGCTCACCCGGGGCGGGCGGCCAAGGCGCGGCCCGTGCGCTCTGAGCGCGGGACTCGCCGCCCTCTGGGTCAGGCGCCAAGCTTTGGAGCGGCTAGAGCGCGGGCCTCGGCGCGCCCCCAGGATCCGCGCAATAAGGCGCTTCCCCACTCCCGGCCCGACCCCCCGCGTCCTCTCGCCGCGCCTGAGCACCAACTTCGCCAAGAACGCTCCTAACTCTAGGCCATCCTGCCTGGCAGAGGGGGCGCTGCTGCTGGGTATCAGCCTTAAGGACGCACCCCTGGCGCTGGGGAGAAAGCCGGCATCTGCGGGGTCGCTCGGGCGCCCCTGAGTGGGCGGCGGCTGCAGCAGACGCCTCTCCGGGGAGTCCGGGACCTGCCAGCGCTGGGGATTCTTCCCGGGCCGGCGCTCGCCCTCTCTTTTATGGTGAGTACTCTCCAGCTCCCGGCAAGGGGCGCCTTGGGGCGCGCGGGGGCCAGGAGCCGAGATCCGGCCGCATGGACTTGACGCGGGCCGGCACTCGTCACAGCTCGCGCTCCTGGCGTGGGTCAGGTCCCGGTCCCGGGGAATTCCTCTCTGCAGATAGTGGCAGTCTGAGCTGATTGATTTGCGCACAGTCCTGGGGCGTTTGGGGGCCGGCCCCTGGTACGTTGGGTTCGAAACCCCCTGGTTTTCTGCGTAGCGGAGACTGCATGAGAAACTGCCTTTCGACTCACATCGCCTGGGTTTGGGTCCAAGATCCGTCACGCTCTGGCTGGGTGACCTTGGGCAAGGCGCCAAACCTCGGTTTCCTCATCCGTAGGATGGGAATAATAATGGTACACGTTTTACAGGGGTACTGGGAAGATCTATGGGACGGTGCTTGTACGTAGACCTGTGCCTGGCACTTAGGAAGCACTCTGTCGTATGTTAGCCAGTATTACTAGCTCTGGGAGCCCAAGCGTGTCATCCAACTCTCCGGAGCTGCAGCAGCTATCTCGTTTGTGTAATGGGAACAATCATTTCTGGGGAAGTCTGTTAATCGAGGGTATTCAGAGTGGCAGAAGTGAAGCGCCTGGCACGCAGTAGGCTCTGGTGAAGTGGTGGCTGTTATTTATTCCTGACACTGGGGTAGTAAGGGTGGTCGCCTGGCTGAGAACTCGGGGGCCAGTTCCCGGCCTTGCTTGGAGACAAACTTGGCGATGCTCAGGAAGAAAGGGAGTTGAGGGTTCTGGGAGTCCTGGGCGCGGGGCTCTGGGAAGGAGGGAGGAGGCCCGAGAGTGGAGCGCGGCAAATGTGTCGGCCGGGCCGCGCTGTACGCGCCAGCGGCTCTGAGCCAGGAGGGGACGCCGAGCCCCGACCTCTGACTGGCGGGAGAAGCCGGGGGAGTGGCTGCTCCAGCCAGGGCCAAGCGCGGGCTGCAGCGGACATGGAGGGAGAGGAGGGCACTTTTGTACCGCGAGGAGGTGGAGAGGTCTCAGCTCTGCCTCCACCACCAGCCCACGGTGTGACCTTGGGCCAATTCTCTAACCTCTCCCAGCTCAGTTTCCTCTTCTGCTCTCCACCCTCCTCCTTGAGGGTGGCTGGAGGGTGAAAATAGGAGTTCTCCTTTTCATGACTCTGAGCCCCTATCCTCCCACCCACCTTCGGGACCCCCCTACCCCCATCCCCCCTGCAATTTGATGAGCCTAAATCTGGAAGACGTGAAATCTGTAAAAGCATGATATAAACATGCTTTACCGGAGGGCATATTCCTCTGAGACATACCTTCTGATTGATTCCATTGTTAAAACTTCCTTTAAAAATGGTAATAAAGCCGCCACCTTTGGCAAACAACGAACAGAATCCAACTTACTAGCCATTCTACTGAAATATTTCCAGTTTGTATTTCTCTTTTACTTTAAAGATTGATAAATTTGATGACATTAAAATAAAATCTTCAGGGGAAAGAAATCGCCATAAACAGTCAAAAGACCTAGACAAATTAGGCAAAGAATTCCCACTCCTATCAAAACCGGCTCATCTCTTTAAATGTGTAAAAGATTACTCCAGTCAACAAGCAAAAGATCAAATGGACAAAGACTACAGACAGTGCACACACACAAAATGAAACAGAAATGACGTTAAAACGTGACAAGATGCCCTACCTCACTCAATAAGAAAAATGCAAGTTAAAACAAGATTCCGGTTTTTTCATGTATCAGATTAGCAAGTAGCAAGAGCCATTTATCAGAAGCGTCTTTTAAATGTAAATAGATCAAATTCCTCCCATTCCTCTCTCAATTAGGCCTTCCTTAAGGCTGCCTTAGAGTACAATGTAGACCCCCAGGGCCCTCCGGGTGTGGTTATTGCCCCTCCGCCCCTCTCAGGCCAGTTTCCTCTCTCATCGCCATCCAGCCCTCTGGCCTTCTCAGTTTTGCTCCAGCACTCCAAAGGCTTAGTCACTTGCTGTCCACTCCCCCCACTCCCCCAATACTTTCCCTCCTGGCTTTTCATAGGACTGGAACCCTCATCATTCTTGCAGGCCTGTCCTTGGTGGTTTTATTTCTATTCCAAGAAGTGGCCAAGGCCTGCGCCAGTGCAGAGTTCCTTGCCCTTTTGGGGAAAGACCCAGTACAACTCACCATACAGAAGTTACTTAATTTTTCCTGAGCCGCCTGCCCTGTTGTCACACATCCAGGCTCTTGAAAGTTTCCTTTTCTGTTGATACAGGAACGAAGGGTCTCAGGCAGTCCCCCAGCTAGAAGCAAGCCACTAGATATGGAAAATCAGGGGGGTGGTAGGATCTAACCTTGCAGTAATAAGTACGTAGTGTGTGCACCTAACTTATGTGAACATGACCGTACATACTTGGTGAAAAAGAAGAATAAAAAATTTAAAAACCAGGAACACATTTTTAATAAAACATGGTCCCTACATAAGCCAACTGATTTGTCTGCTGCTGAGCTTAAGGAATAGGGATATGTTCTGAGGCTGCAGGAAAAACAGTTGTCTCTGCTGTATAACATTCTCTTTAGGAAAGAGAATGGCATAGCCCAAATCAGTTATCATGAACTTTGTGGACATTTAGAAGAACTTTCCAGGGCAGTACTGGTTGCATGTGATTTTTGCTTCACACATTGAGTTCAGAATTTATTTCCCATTTAAAATGTATACTTTAATTATGAAAAAAATGTCTGTTGTTAAAAACACAAACCATACAGGAGATATAGAGTGAATACTCCTTCTTCAATCTGATAGGCTCTTCCTAATGCAGCCAGAAGTAGCAGGTACAAGGCTGTGTGCCAGTGTTGGAGATAGAGGCTGGTTGGGCACTGACTCTACCAGCAAGAAACGCAGACGTGGTGCAGGAGACATCAGCAGGAATTGACAGGTAGGGCGAGGACGCGGTGGGATGGAGGGGTGCCCGGCCCTGCTTCTGCTAGGGCAGCTGGGAGAGTGAAGGAGTGTCAGCCAGGCAAGGGCAGGTGGAAAGGCTCCCAGGCGCTGAGCTGTGAACGGGATATCCTGACTTGAGGAGAGTCTGGCGTGCCTGGTCTGTGGTGCGTCGCAGTGAGAGACAGAGTGTGGGAGAGATGAGCAAAAGCAACTCCCAAGGGCCCTTGGGTGCCAAGCTAAGGGGTGCTGCTTCTCTCTGTAGAAGCTGCCTGGAGGGTTGAAGAGCAGGTGGGTGGGCATCCTGGTCAGATTTACCCCTTGGCAGCATGGAGGGTGGGTTGGGGGCAAGGACTGGAGTCCGGGAGACCCGATAGAGACCATTGCAGTAATCCAGGCAGGGTCTGAACGAAAGGAAGGCTGAAGGCATTGAGTGATGGAGACCGAGAGGCGAGGATCCGTGGCAGAAACAGGGACATGCAGAGAAGACCCTGGTATGCAGGGAGAGGGAAGGCGCTGGGCTCAGCCCAGGCTGTGTGGGTTCTGAGGTGCCAGTGGACAGCAGATGTCTCACAGGGCTGAGAGTGTGGGTGTGTCCACAGTGGGAGGTTTATGATGCAAAGAGGCCTCCAGAGCTTTGCAAGGTCATTTGAAGGAGCACCCAGCTTGGGCTGGTCATAGGCTTCCAGTAAGTGCATCTGGTGCTGAGTAGAGAAGGCGGAACTGGAGACCCAGCTTGAGAGTGTCTGCAGGGGGCTAGGGATGCAAGTCGGAAGACAAGATGCATGGAGAGAGAGCGAAGCAGAAATGGAAGCCATGGCCTTGGGGGTGCCCCGTCGAAGGGGCAGGCAGGTGGACCCCAGAGCCAGGAGGAGGCAGGAAAGCTCCCATGTGCTGAGGGATAGGCCGGAGCAGTGCCAAAGTCACCCACCAGGCTTTTAATGCTATGAAATGTCATTTACTGTGAACTGGAGTTCTGCTTTCTCCAGAAGTGAGTGGGACTTGGCCCAGTTGGGCAGGTCACAGAGACATCCCACTTGTAGCTGCATTCTATGAGATATGCCAGTCACACGGATTCCTGGGGCTGGAGTGCTCTGCCCACGTCCTGCTCTGTCTCTCCTCTCCCTCAGGATCTCCTTTTCTCCTCCCTTCCTCTCTTTCTGTTTCTCTCCGGCCCCCCATCTCAGAAGTGCTCCCAGAGGTACCTTAGGCTTAATGGGAGGGAACTTCAAAAATCCCAGCAGGTCCCTATTATGATCTAGATCAAGCCTGAGGCATGAAGAGTCCTGCTTTTCTTTCAGGCGTCCTGTTTTCAGACAACCAGTTATACCAAGTGGGGAAGGTTCATCTTGAGAGGTAAATGAGGGGGTGGAAGTGAAGATTATTGTGTTTTCTTCGTGATTTTCCCCAGAGGGTCCCATTAAGGGCACCCTCCCTTCCCCTCCCTTCATGCTTTGTCCCAGCAGGGACATGCTGGGCTTCAAGGAGACCAGCTGTCCTGCAGAACAAGCCACACATGCCCGGGACAGCCCTCTAGGCACAGGGGCAGCTGTGATGACCAGGCCTGCCAGGACTGCATGTGGCCTCACTGGCTCAAAGGTCTGTCTCTTTCAAATGACCTTGCAGAGGTTGCTGGCCTGGTCACTGCCCAGCAAATCTCCTTCATCCCATCCCCTGCTCTCCTTGCTGGCTGACAGCTGAGCTTCCACCTCAGGGGCCCCTGGCTCCGTCACACGTGGGAGGATTCCCATGGAAACCCCAGAAGGAAGAGAGGCTCGGGGAAGCCTCATTGATTCATGCTCCAGGAAGACAGGCGTGATACGGTTCCACCTGGAACTGGACAGATGGCTCTCTTTGCGAGCTCTTGGGGAAGAAAGGGCTTGCCCCGCCAGTTGTAGCGTGAACTCCATGTGTTTATAGAGGGGAAAAGCTAATGGATGTCTGTGAATAAAACCTTGGGGGTTCTTCAGTTCATTCACTGTTGGTGGATTCATTCTGAATGAGCATCTTTTAATAAAACATCCCCTCTACCTAATATTTGTACAAGAAAATCTCAAAAACATTCCACTTGA